TATAAAATAGTCTATTTTTACAGAATAAAATCGCGTTAATATAGTGCGATGGAGTATAAACCATATCCCCGTCTAAATGACGCATAATACATTAAATATCTTTTATTTATTATCTTAACACATGGAAATTATTCTTTAAAATTATTATAGTGGAATAGTACAACAGTGAGCACCACGCTTACGAATTGATAAAAAAGGTATAATGGCTAGAAAAATGTAGAAAATTTATTTTTTTTTTTTGAATAATAATATATTGATTAAAATCCGAAATTTCGAAAGTATATAGAACATATAAGACCGCATTAAACCAATCACAGACTTGTAATCAGCACGCTAATAATAAAATTGAACCTAAAATTCATGTTGATTCGTCGAATTAAAAATAACCTAAAAAAGAATAATAAAAAAAAAAAAAAAAAAAAATATATTTTCATTTAAGTTTATGACTAAATTTTAAGTCAATCACTGTTAGATTTAAAATCTAAAAAAAATAATAAATACAATAGTTCTAAATCTTTCCTTTAATTTGTTCTTTTATAAACAGAGGAAATATAAAAGATCTGGAATAAAATATACAAAGAGTCCACTCACAAACTCAAGTTCGATCAATGAGGGTCGATAAAGGCAACAGCCTGTATAAACCCGACATACAAAAACATTGGTTACAGGTAAATTTTAATTTACTATGACATAATAGTTTCATTTATGTTATAATTTCAAGGTCGGCGAAGACTCGTTTATTCTAAAATAAGATAGAAGAAAAATAATATATCTAGTCTTCGCTGAAGCATACACAGCAACATACTATATCCCCTAGAGCGAACATAGGAACATATTGTCTTACAATCCTATGTTCACATTAGTGGTAGGAGTATGCTGTGAATCCATTGTTCACACAGCTTTAATGAACATAGGATTTAATTACATGAATGAATGAATATTTGGAGACAATTGTTTCAAAAACAATAATATCGTTTTATAAAAACTATTTCTCAGAAGCTAACATAGGATTTAGTTTTGGATATATTCAAGCATTAGAAGAGAATGCATTATTGAATTACAAATCATATCATTATGCGCGAATCCTATGTTCACATAAATTTAATAAACACACGATTCACATTTGGTTATGCCCATAGACTTGATTATTGTCTCACAAAAAATGAACATAGGGTTTATGTTCATAACATCTATGTTTTACAAAACCTATGTTCTCAGAAGAGAACATAGGATTCAAATTAGACTATATTCGCACATTAGAAATGAATATAGACCAGCATTATTCTGTTACAGAATCCTATGTTTCTCAGTTAAACCAAAAGCACTGCACATAATGCATAATATCTCACACTTTGGTCCCGTTCTTTTGATGCTCCCCTATCGTTACATGCGTCACAAACGGTCCCCTATGAGGCTGAGACCCTTGCCTAGTAATAACTGATGTAGTTCATTTGTAGTCATTAAATATTTATCTAATGGTCATATATTAATTTAATATTTTGAATGAACTATAGTATATTTATAACAATTTAAAAAAAAAAAAAAAAATCACCCCTATAACTTTTTTAATTTTTTAAATAAAAAAATGATTTTTGCTTATTTTGTAATGTACACAATATACAGGGTGCGTCACTCATTCGCTTCGGTGTTGACGCTAAATGAAAGACTTGGACAACAAACATTTTTATAGGTATATGCAGAGAGACTCAATGTGCGATAATTTTAAAATTATGTTAAGCAGATAGGTTTCTAAAGTCAAGAACTAAGTCCACACCAGAAGTACATTTTTTCTTAATGGAACCACCGGTATTTTATTTAATTATTTTATCAGTGGATAAAATAGGCATTTATTATAACGGTAAAAAAGATACACGTTTAAAAAATATTTTTATAATATTTAAAGTGTGTGTGTGTGTAATAAGAACCGATTATGTCAACACGATTGTTACATTAACTTTTCAAGAACTTAATTCTGATGTGCTGCTTTCGAAGCCAGGAGAAATAAACTACCTAAAAAATATTGAAATTAAAAAAAAAAAAAAAAAAAAAAAAAAAAATATATTTTAAATAATATTATTTACATAAAACTTCGTTATTTCGAATACAATACGTATATATTTTTTTAGTTTTTTTTTTTTTTTATATTTAAAATGCTTTTTCAACTATATTAGGGTGCCGTATACCTATTGGCTCCCGATTTTGAGAAAAAGCGATTTTCAATAGTAGTGGTAATCAATAAATTGACGTTTAGCCTGTACAAATTTTTTTGACCAGTCTGCTTTTTCCTCCAAATATTTTTTTTTCTCAAAACCAAATAAATAAATCAGAATAATAAAATAAAAAAAAAAAATCATGAAATTTTTTAAACACTGTAATAAAAAAATGGGTGTACCATTTAAAATATAAGTTGCTAAACTTCCGAGTTAGGTTAGTGCGCGGGGAACCTATGAAAATATTTTTTAATCGATAAATCTCATTGTGAAACGATGATGTGCAAAAAACTAACATCCAACGAATTGTATAGTCTCCCGAACTCTGCTGAATGCACGCTCAGCCATGGACATCCTGATATATGGCATATTCAAGATATATTATCTTAAGAATTCTGAATAACAATACTTTTTTTACTACACCTTAAAATACTTGCACACAGAATAAAACTGTTTATCTATATTTAAGACCCATTAATAGAACATATTCTCTAAATCAATAAATTACACAGAAATCGTCTTATTAAAAAATTACAACAAAAAAAAAAAAAAAAAAAAAAAAAAAAAAAAAAAAAAAAAAAAAAAAAAAATTAAAATTTTTTATATCCTTTAACATACGAGATAGTTTGAATTATATTGGGTGAATGAACTAAATAACATTTTATACCTGATGTTATTAAGAAATCTTACCACCAGGTGAACTTTGAGAGATTCTTCAAAGTCAATCAAAACACGCCTAACTCGTTATTTTTATTTAATTTATTTTCTGTTTTAGTTCTCGTAATATTTAATATATACCACTCACACAGAGTAAAAAATCAGTTCTTAGGACTTATGCATAATACACTATAAAAATTTTCTGAAACACATGAGTATTCAAAGTAGAAGAAACATGATAAAGCTGATAATAAGAAAAACAAAGAAAACAGTGGAAGACAAGGGAGACCAGTAGTTACCAAAAGGAATAAAATTCTCTCGAGAAAAATATAGCAAAATTTATATAAAACTAGCTTAGATTTTCAGTTTATTGTGCAGTTTTTTTACAAAATATAGAATTAATTAAAAAAAAAAAAAAAAAAAAAAAATAATTTGTAAAATTAACAGATTAATATAAATGACCATATACGTATTACTTTATACAAATACAAACATAACAGACTTACAACAAACATTATAAATAATAAAAAACAAAAATTATAAAACATTTGTTAAATCATTAAGTTTTAATAAAACTTACCATCTTGTACTTTTTCTTGGGGCATCACACCTTATGAATTTCTTACATTGGTAAAACCTCTTCCAACTTGGGCATTCCAAAGGGTCTTTGTCCTACACCATTAAGGCGCAAACATAAACTTTGCAGTTTAGGTATGGGCAAATTTAGGGTGCACTACAAGATTACCATTGGCATCTTTTCTGAGTTTTCTTCCTTGGCAGGAGATTCCATCCTTCAAAATCGTAGAAAAAAAAGATAATATTATAAATTAATTTGATAAATCTATAAGTTCCCTACGTAGGAACTATCCTGGAAGAAAGAATACATCCTCTATCGAAGTTCAAACAGCATTAAAAGCGATCCACTCACTCGCATCACTTTTGAGTTGGTTAAAAATAATGAAATGCGAACAAATTAGCGAAAAGAATATTCCTCCCACTCTGCGGTAACAGGCACCGAGATATAAAATATTGAAAAAGCAAGCACGATCTAGCTGAAATGGAGCGCAATCCTCTAAATGGACCGACCGTTCTGCTTCCCAGTCGGAAACCACTAAGCGGAACTCATGAGCTGGACACTCATCCATGACCGTGGAATGTGAGAACTCCTCAACCGGGACCTAATGACATCGAACAAAATTTCCAAAACTTTACGACGAGAAGTGTTGTGTCACACTTTCTGTATACTGCCCACGGGGTATACCTCGGTTTGAAGATGAAAGATTTTCCGAGAAAATATTGCAGGAGAATTGCGGAAGGAAGAAGACGATCCGAGAAAGTGTTTGTAGTCAATCACTAGAAGCGCCCCACGGTATACTTCGTGAGAATGAAAGATTTTCAGAACAACTATTGGCAAGAATGCGCGAGAGTGGAGAAGCTACGAGAAGTTGTATTTTGGTGTCATCACTAGAGTGCACGGGCTTACCTGTAAGATGAAAAGTTTCCAAGGAAAACTATGTGCAGGATGCGAGATGAAAGAAGAGAACATAGAGCAAACTGCTTGTGCCACTGTCGGTTATTGGAATTCCATGCTCTAAAACTTTACGGGCAAGCCTTTTTTTGGAGGGATCGAGGAACGTTGCAGAAGCAAACATTCAGGCGTGCATCATGACACTTTGCAAAACAAGCTGAAGAGATTTTATACGCAAAGCATTATAACTATGGAGAAGCGAAGTTTTGTACAATGGAAAATCCTTTAAAAAAAAAAGTACTCCGGTCACTTGTTCGGTCATTTGAACACTTGTTTACCTCATATGAACAGCCCATGTAAATTAATCTAAGAACAATGCGAAATGTCGTTTCTTTTCTTCTTTATGAGAAAATTGGGAGACACCAGAACACCTCTCACTGAGTGCACCAAGACGCAACATTCGTGTCATAAACTTTGGTTCGACTGATATGGAGATGGAGTACTAACCTCTGTAAAAACCGTCTCAGATACTAGCTTTTGTAAAAATCCTGAGACTGTAATTGAGAGTATGAATTCAAGGAAAGAATCAGAATAGGTTCGACTGTGATTAGCTTCCTCCCTCCTATACAATGTACAATCTAGAACTTACTAGCGTTATCTTTGCATCCTTGTCTGCCAGCAGAGTCAGGCCATACACAAGTTCCGGAGTATTCATCGAAGTGTAGACCGTTTGTGCAGGTGATTTCGGTGTAGTCCCCTTCGATGCAGTTGTAGAATTTGTTGCAGACAGTCAGATCTTCATGGGCAAAGAATCCGTTTCTCCTGGGGCATGGTCCTTTCGGTTGTGGAGCTCTGAAAATTTTAAATGTAATGATTCTTAAATAAAATATATGAATTTAATATTTCATAAATTCATATTCTTTCAAAATATTCTAGAGAAAAATGTTACTTTAAAACTTGTAAGTTTAATTTCATAATATAGATTATGGGTCTAACGAACTATAAAAAATAAGTAAAGTTTCGGCAGCATACACTGCAGATAAAAATAAAATACGAAAGACACGCTCTCCGTTAGGAGTGTCAGTCTAATGCTTAGTTCGGAGAGAGACTACAGGCACCTCGTAAATGTATTTTTATTTCGATTCTTTTCTAAATAATTATGAAGTAACGTTTCAAATTTGGATAAAATGTGTTGTCTAGGAGGTTTTTGACATAAAATTTTGATTTGATGTCAACTATGAGTTCCTTAACGTTTTGAAGAGTGGTTTGAGAGATAAGTAATTTTTATCTACCTGTAATAAAGACTATGATAAAATATTAGCATTTCTATGACTTTTACGGAAAAAATTTCTCTTGGTAAAAATCGCTACGAGCAAACGTTCTCAAAATATTTAGAATGGAAATATTTAATACATGTCATTATTTAGTGATGGATAGACTCAGAGCGAAATTTTTGCTCGATACCGATTAATTAAAATAACGACTCGCTCGATTATGAACGCGCGATGCAAGTGACGAGTACCAAGCGACGAACGCAAGCGATCCTAGAAGTGAAATAAATTGAAATTCGATTTCAATAATGTGACAAACTCGATAAAAAGCCGAGCGAATTTTCTACATACATTGCAAGTAGCAAATTTATACGACGCCGTATATATATATTTATCCGTTGCGTATCTGAGGGACAAAATTTAATTTTACGACCTACATCGGTAATCCTTCGAAATAAACTATCAAGCGAATCGCTTGCATTCATCTCCGAAAGAATATGTGCCCTGCGCGCGCAACTTACTGCTTGGCGCTTGGCGTTAACGAGTACTTACAATAAGCGCCGGGTGAAAACCGTATTTTTAAATACGAGTGATATTTCACTCGAGTGATCACTCGGTTATTGCAATCGCTTGAAACTCGAGTACTCGATTATTGAAATTAATCGGTTTTTCCTATCACTAATCATTATTGACAAAAAATAAACACGTTGAGGTAATTGAGGAAATTTTTATTTTTTTTAAGTTAATCATAAATTTTTCTGCGAAAAAATTATGATAAAACAGTTTCTGTTATACTTTTGACACAAAAATATTTCAAATTCATGATTTTAGTCTAACAACTATTTAATTAACATGTTTAATCTGTGTCAATGATGGCAGGTATTGATAATTTCGATTCCAAATATCTCGAAAATCATTACTCGTAGCGAGTTCTACCAAGAGACCTTTTGTACGTAAAAAACTTTAGTTTTATACAGGTACAGACGAAAAGTTATTACTCTTCAAACCAGTTAAAAAAGGCATAGATGGCGCCCTCTACATGTAAGAGCCCATTTGAGATCAAAATTAAATTTCTCATGTGAAAAAAATCCTAGACAACAATTTTCATAAATTATTTGGAGAAATCGAAATAAAAATGAAACCTCTACACCCTGTATCTCCGAAACTAAGCATTTTAGGACATACATTTATACGAACTTTTTTACTTATTTTTATCTGCAGAATATGCTGCCGAAGTTTCCGGAATACAGGTTGGACCACCCTGTATATCTAATTCTGTTTAAAGGCCATAAAAGTATGAAAAGTAGTATTCGCTTCGCTATAGTGTTAATAATTGATATTTTAAGTTTTGGACTTACGTAATTCAGTTCTGTCTCCACATTCAACATTGAAAGGTTGGTCGCACTTGTTCCTTTTCCTGATCAACGGGTCGAAAACTAAACCATCTGGACAAAGTTTTGGTTTCGCTTCTCCTTCCACACACTCCCAGTATTTGTCACACTGACGTGAGTCTTCGTATTGTCCATCTTTCGCTGGACATTTGTAGGCTTGACTTTGACCGCCTGAAATAGACATACATATTTTAAAAATATAAACCAAAAAAGCTTTATAATGCTGATAATAAATGAAGGGATAAACAAAATATCTGGCGCCTCAGTACTTCTGTTCTAATGGGACGCTATATTTGCATACACGCTTTAAAAAAATAAGGTGTGTATCTTTAAAGGGCAACATTTTAAACTTAGGTATATATATTTTTTGATATCAATTAACTCTTAATTACTTAATCGAGGGCGCGATTTTTAAATTCACTGTTGCCAACAAGTTGCCAACCATGGACATATTCGGCGCCAGGCTGACTAACTGGAATTTAAATTTCCCACTGCGGATTCAGATGGTCCAAACCAAACCAAACCAAACCAAAAATGTCAAATTGCCACATTTATTCATTTATTTCCTGACATTGTCATTCGTTTTGGCACTTTTTATTACGAGTTTTTGGTTTAAATAAATAGTGTTAATAATTGATATTTTAAGCTTAAAAATGTTTTTAGTCGAACATTGTTCTTTTTAGTGCGAAGTGAACAAGATAGCTTAATAGCCGTAAAAACCCCATCGCAACTTTATTAGAATATTTTGAACGGGAAAACAGTAGTAATGGCCTTTTATGTCCCTTAAGTGTTGTTAAAAAGGTGAGTTTTGTTGATGTAAATAATAACTGTTTATATACAGGGTGTCCCACTTAAGATGGATACAAGCCAATATCTTGATTGTTTGTTGAGCGATTTTTTTCATTTTTGGCAGGAGGTTGTATGGCTATAAGACATACATTTTGCCCAGGGTAAGAAATGCGATACCTCATAGACGTACGTTTTAATGGGGTTTGATATTTTTCGAGTCAAGAGTAAACTACCCTTAGAACAGTATTTATTTCAAATCTGATAAATTATATTGAAGCCTCCTTACCTAAGATACTTAAGTTCTAATTTTTATAAATATTGATACAGCATGAGTCATTAAAATAAGACATTTTTATTTTTATTATTTTTTTTAAGTAGGTACTTACGACGCCACTGGATAAACAACTGGTTTATTATCAATAATCAATTATCAATTAATAATCTTTTTTTATGGCGGTTTGGTCGAAGATGTTGACTTTTAGTTCGTTATAGTTTTATAAATCTTTGTTTAGAGCATATTTTCCAAAGTTAATAGTGATTGTTTTAAATATATCTAACTATTTGGATTTTTTAAAATATTCCTCAATAAAACGAATAAAAATCATATTTTAGATTCCATTGAAAACTGGGTTATTAAATTATCTTGTAACTCATTTTATTCATTTGTATTAGCAAACTTAAAAAACAATTTTTTAAAGTAAACAAAATAAATTGAAAATATTTAGTTTTTTTGTATCGTATCTTGATTATTATGGAAGCTATCTGAAAACTTAAATCGATTATTAATTGATAATTGGTTATAATTGGTTATTGATAATAATCCTGTTGTTTATCCAGTGGCGTCGTAAGTACTTAAAAAATAATAATAAAAATAAAAATGTCTTATTTTAATGACCCACCCTGTATCAATATTTATCAAAATTAGAACTTAAGTATCTTAGATAAGGAGGATTCAACATAATTTATCAGTTTTGAAATAAATACTGTCCTAAGGGTAGTTTACTCTTGACTCGAAAAACACCAAACCCCATTAAAACGTACGTCTATGAGGTATCGCATTTCTTACCCTGTGCAAAATGTACGTCTTATAGCCATACAGCCTCCTGCCAAAAATGAAAAAGATCGCTCAACAAACAATCATGATATTGGCTTGTATCCATCTTAAGTGGGACACCCTGTATTATAATGTATTTATTTTTGTTTTCTAAATCTATTTTGATTAAAAGAAAATATGTAAAAGTGGGCAACGACGCGCCGTGCAGGTCAAGCTTAATCACGTGACTAAAAGTTTATTTGATATGAACTTTATAAATATCACTGTGTGTATTTGTATTGTGTATTTTATGAAAAAGAGATGGGTCGATGACGTCAGGGCAGTGGCGGGAAGAAAATGGATAAGATTTGCTAGAAATCGCGAAGCGTGGAAAAACCTAAAAAAAAGGCCTATATCCAACACTGGATGGAACCAGGCTGATAAAGAAGAAGAAGTATTTTATGGAATATTTGAAATCTATATTAATTTACTATGCAATACTCTACTCATTTTGGACTGTTAAACTACAAGACTCAGCGGTACGTGTGTCTACTTCTGTACAAGCGTACCGGGTTTGGTACACTGGTAACACACATGACAATTACATGCGAAAGTTTGCCTACGCTCCGTGCAGCGTTTGGCATAAGAAAAAGAAGATTTTTCTTTGTACGTTTTGTGACATCTTGTGGTCCAAAACTTGTTAATCTATCCTCGTATAATTATTCAAAATAAATACACCACAGTGATTTATCACGATTTTCGATTTATTTTGAAAAAAAATATTACACAGTCATCTTTAAACCATTTTCTATTTAAAAATACCGAAAATGTAACCAATTCTCTACGCAACAAGAATATAGATCAGTAAATAACATTTGAAAGTGTCAGCTTTTATAACACATAAACGATATAATGGTGATTTTTTCGCTTCAAATCCACTGGTTTGTGGCAAAAATGTATTACATGCAATATCTTGTTATAATTTGCCAAGAAAGTGGAACTAAATAACCGAACAGTCTGTGAGTGAACGGTGTGTTCTAGAAAGCATTTAATATGCATTTTTTTATTCATTTTCGCGGAGAATTTAAAAAATAATCGTTCAAAACACCTAATTGTCGAAAATTAATTGTTACGTAATTGTATTTTATTATAATAAGTTTTTTATTTATATACTTTAGAAGCCGTACTATGACTTTTTGCATTATATAAAATGCATTTACACGTTTTAATACTGATATGAAATATAAGCAAGTTACTTAAAAGCTAACATTCAAGTCGATAAAAAAGGAAAATAGAATTTAAAACTTTGGTGTTATGGGCAAATAAAACTAGAGTAAAATTATTCGAAATTAGATCGTTAAGGAAATGTATTGTAACAATTTACATGTTGTATAAAATTGAATACTAAATACTATTAAATCGCGTAGGCATATTATGATTTAATTTTCTGTATATTAATTTAGGTATATTAATTATTCAACTTCATTATCTAACAAGCTGACCCTGCTAATTTAGTACCACTTGATAGTGAAGTGAGAGATTTGTTGTCAATTTTGTGATACAGCTGACTGATTGACCTAATGATCTATAATGATGAAACTAGGGATGTACAATTCGAATCGATTTTAATCGAAGATTGATCTTTTTGCACAAAAAATCGATTAAAGTCAATCGATTTTTATCAAAATCGAAGATCGATTTCATAGAGTTTTACGGGTTTTTTATTTGTTAGAATCAGACACACTTTAGTTTTGCTTCAATAATTATTTACAGTGCATCCCTAGTTAAACGCCATCTAGCAATAAATAGAGGAATTAAGTGTAAGTGCTCATTACCGCATGCGCCAATGTTTTTTTATGACTTATGTCAGGTGTTTGTCAGATTCTTGTCGGTGGGGTAAATGTTCGTTGACTTTGGGGTAAAACTTTGGGGGGTAGTAGTACGTAGGTGCGTGATTCCCATATTTTTTATATTTTGGCCTTTTTTATTTTTCTATACAGTGCTGATCAAAAAAACAGTGCCATCTCTCTGAGGAGATTCCTCAGTAAAAATAAATTAATTTTCAATAGCAACAATAGGTCCAATTCTCCTAATCTTGCGAAAACTTTAAATCTAACTTGCGAAAGTTTTAATAGTACTCATTGACCTCATCAAAAAATATGAAAAAAATCCTATAAACATGGATATGGAAATGCATAGCTTTAGAGTACAGGATGTTAAAACTTTTAAAAATTAGTTTTTTTTGTTTTTTTTTTTTTTTTTCATTAATTTTTTTTATTTGAAATCATTTTTTTTTTTATTTTTTTTAAAATAACTAAAATTATAATATTTAATAAAAATTGAGTAAAAATTAATTATAATTTTATTTTATTTAAATTTATTACTTCTTTAATTGTCAATTACATAAAATCGGCGTTGTGTTGTCATTTCTAATCAAACGGAGCCGAATCGAACAAAAATCAAGAATGTAGGTTTTAATTGGCATTAAACGCCTTACACAATTTCTTGATATCAAAAGAAAAAAAGTGAATGGCGGCACATGTTTTTTTTTTCGAAAAAAATATCCAATGTAACCTCATCTGCACGTCCTGATGAATTTAACGTCATTTCCCCTCAAAACCCTCAATTTCATTCGAATCACCTAAAAGTCTCGAAGAAAAATTAAATAATAGAAAGAATATTAAGACTTTACACCCTGTACTTACGAAACAAAATAGAAATAAAAAAAAAAAAAAAAAACAATAAATAATTATTTTAAGTATTTTTTTATTTTTTTTGTAGGGTTATTATTTTCTATATTGTTATTTAGTTAAATAATTTTTTTTGAAACTTTTTTTTTTTTTTTTTTTTTTTTTTAATATTTTAAATGTTACTTGTCTTTGTTTTAATATTTATGTATCTATTATTATATTAATACAAATACCGTATGATAAAAAAAAAAAAAAAAATTTCAAAAGTTGACATATAAATGTCATTCTATTCATTGCCATTGTAGATCAACAGTTGCTAGCATTTCGGCGAAACAGAAAGCCAAAATTGAATAGC